GTCACTACCGCACGAACCACTGAATCCCCTTAATGAAAATCCTAGCTCCGCCATCCGAAGTACTATTGAGTCTTTAAAAAGTCCTTTCTTTTCACCACTATTTACTACTATACCAACACTGGAGCATCCACAATCAACACTTGTATGAATCTTCTATATCTATTCCGTTCTAATTGGGCTCTCATGTGAGAAATTCATTCATCATATTCATAGTTAGGCAATTCTTTCCTACGGCTCTCCTAAATTTTCCACAACATAATAAAAATCGAAGATTGCAAATCAATAAAAATATTCATGTCAAGAAATAAAAGAAAAAATCAGAAACTCAAGCGCAAAAATAAATAAAAAGTGCATAAGAAGCGTATCAAAAGTGTAAACAAACCTCGGGATCCATCTGTTAAATCGATCAATTCTCGAGCAGTTGCTAGTTTTCCAGTAACGAATTGGCGCAACGTAACTTCTTGTGGAAGAAATAAGAAGTGTTTAACGGAGGTTTTTGCGTTCGGCGTTCGACTCAGTAACTCACCGGAAGATATCAGTTTTCAACTTATCTTATTTCCATCAATATCCTATTAAATTAAATTAAACTTCAGAATTTCGCAGTGAAAATTGTAAGAGTTAATTTCCCAAACGGTCATTCAACCTGATGAATTTACCTAGTAAAATCACTTTTCTTTGTGTTAGGACAAAAAAATCACTATTTCTCCAAAAGTCATAACCACCATAAAAGCCAATTTTTATAAGAAATTTTTTTTTACCCATATTAATAAATACATAATGTTAAAATTCGCATAAAATTATTAGATAATTTGTTTGAGTTATATAAACTTATAATAAAAATAAAGTATAAATCTATAAAATAAAAATGTTGTATTAGTTTAACTAACTGAATAAATGAAGAAATGTATTTATGAAAGTTTTCATATGCCTTACTGTGATTTCTGAGTATTTATGCCCGAATATCTTATAAAAATTAGTTCAAATAAAACGTAAAAATACTTTTATCATATTTTTTTTAATGTTTTATTAAATAAAATAAAATAAAAATTGATTCTTTTGGTCGTTGAAAAGATTATCATACAAAATTGATAGTGGCAATATAACGTTTAAAGAATAAATAATGTTGAATTAATATTTTACATATAAAGAACTTAATATAAAATTTATAGTGCGTTTATAATGCATTTTGACTTCTACTATTTTGCAATTCATGTGTCAATTTTGCATCTTTCTGTTTTCAAAATCATTGTGTTTTATATTCGTATAAGATTTTGCGAACTCATTAAAATATTCAAAAGAGATTAGTTAAAAACTAAACCAAAGATCAGAACAATTACTTATGAAATAATATTGAAAGAGTCCAGCAAGACAACAACTAATATATAATGGACAGAATTTTTTGGATTTGATTTGATGGAATTTTGTGATTATTTTGAATTTATAGTCCTATTATAATTTTATATAACCTTAAAAATTATTTAATAATTTAATACAATTGTAACATTATGTATTTATTGACATGGAGTAAAGTTGTCTTTTCTTAAGAAAAGTGGTTTTTATGGTAGTGTATGGCTTTTGGAGAAACAAGCGAATAGTTTAGTGATTTTTTTGTCCTAAAACAAAGGAAAGTGATTTTACTAGATAAATTCTCCAGTTGAATGGTCATTTGGGGAATTAACTCAAATTCTAAAAGCAGATTAATCATTAAAAGAAAATAGTACATCTTCTCTCCAAAAGTAAATAATATGAAAAACTATTTCGTAAAAGTATTTTCAAAAGAAGCCGTTTATAAAAATTTGGTCAAACATTTCTTAAAGAATTAGAATTAGGGAACTTTTAGCTAGATATGTAAAATTAGAAGCTTAATCGCCACTATGAAAGACATTTGAAATTAATTACCTAATATAACAAGATTTTTAAAACATGGCAACTCAGACAAGAGTGGGTTGCTCTAGTGGTAAGCACCCCGAGGGTTTATCGGAAACAGCCTCTCTACCCCAGGGTAAGGGTAAGGTCTGCGTACACACTACCCTCCCCAAATTCCATTAGTGGAATTATACTGGGTTGTTGTTGTTGTTTTAAAACATGGCAACTCCTAAATTTTAGGCTTCAAAATTTTCCCTATTTTCTCTTTCTTTCTCCATGCCTCTCCCCAACTATATACTAATGTATATAGTATAATAGTAACACTAGATCGACGTTGGCCCGTGCTAGCACGAGCCTAATAATTTAAACACGTATACGTGTGAAAATAGTATATGCGATAGCCAATTTTCGAATTCGTAATTATAAATAGCCAGCATTTGCAAAGTTATTAAAAAATAGCCAATATTTTAGCTGAAACAAGAAAAATTCTAGCATAATATACTGGATTTTGGAGCTCCCCCGTATAAACTTCTAGCAAATTATGGTGGAACTCCGATACATTATGAAACTCCAACACATTATGTTAGAATCTCATATGTAAAAAAATTTGAACTCCAGTGTATTATGCTGGAATTTTTACGGACTTTTAAGGGTGTTTTTTGTTTAGATTTTATCTTTACATGAAAAAATAGCTAAATTTCGATTACTTTTGAAATTGTGCCTATTTTTTAATAACCAGTTGTAAATCTGACTATTTCTGACTTTTTCCCCATATATGTAAACCTATTAGGGCTTGTTTAAGTCTTAGTGTAATTGAATTTGAATGTAATTTAATTAATAATACGGTTTGACATGTTTATCTGCATATGTAGTCATTTAGTCAATATGAATTAAGCATAATTGAAATGAAGTGATTATACTCTTCAATTCTCACATGGGATAAATTGATAATAACTAAGTGATGACATTCAAATTCTTGTTTTTTCTTTTTAAAAACATAATAAAAAAGAAAAACTCTTTTCCTCCTTTCATTTGTCTCTCAAAATGTATTTTATTGCTCCTAATTCCATTCCAGGTACTCCTTTACTCTTTAATTCTTTTTCCTACTTATTTCATACTTTCTCTTAGCGTGACATTTTTTTTTATTTTAACTATAGAGTATTCTTGCTGCTATTTCGGTTTCATGTCCTCCTTATTCCCTTTTTTTATTTGCATATTTTCCTGCTTTTATTTCTCTTATTATATACGTAGATTGTAGTACTTTGCAATTTCTTATACTTTATTTTCTTTATTTTTACTTATTTCATTTTTCAATAAATATTATGCTTTATTAATATATTTAAAATGCTATTTTTATTTTTCCTATATCGTATACAACAACAACAACAATAACAACAACAACATATCATGTGTAATCCCACAAGTAGGATCTGCGCGAGAGTAGTATATACACAAACCTTATTCGTATCTCGTTTTGTATCATATGGCACTCAAAATAACCAATTAAGTAAAGGACATACCAAAAAATTACTATTATTCGTTGCATAACATTCTAATAACACAAAAGAAATTTTGGCTCTCCAGCAACATTTATTGTAATGACCAAATAATGCTCGGTTTTTGTTAAGGTAAATTTTTTTGATATTCCTTCATTTTTTTGTTAGTTCTCAAGACAACAAAATTCGTATTTTAATTCGTTTATAAACAGTTAAAACGTATTCTAAAATTACAAATACTATTTCCTTCTAATAGCCAAGAATGATAAAATCATATCGTAGAAGCTAACAATCTTCGTGTATCAATTCTTGGAATTAATTAAAAGGTATCTCCAGTTTAAATCAAAAGAATACATTAATTCAAAAAGAAAAAGAAAACAAATGGTGGTCTACAAATATGAAAAGGAAATTAGCTTACAGACAACCATTTTGGGAAAGTAAAGAAGAGAAAAATGTGGCATTACAATGACATCATCAGTGTGAGGTTGTAAAGTGGAAGCCCAAGTAAGGGGTTTGGGGTTGGTGTGTCAAACCAAAAATATAATGGGCCCACCATAAGCAATACATTGAGCAGGGGCTGTTTCAACGTGGCACGAAAGCTGCTACTGACAATGTCCAAATAATGCAGCAGCGAGTATAACTCTTTCAAGCAACCTAAATATGTGAAATGTCGAAAATGTCTTGACAGTAAGCAGGCATGTCGTCCAGCTGCCTGTTAACTCCCTCTTATTAGATAGTAGAAAACCAAAAATCCACTACCTAATGGAGCTCACTCTAGCATTGTTTTTTTTGGGGCAAAGATCACTTTTAGCCTGCAATCAAAATTATTTAGGGGTCGTTTGGTAACAGGTATAAGAATAATGTTGAATAAGATATATTAGTAATTGTGAGATTAATTATGCTGATGTTAGTTATGCTGAAATTATTTATTATCTACTATTTGACTTGATATATTAAAGTATTGCATAATTTCTAAAAATATTAGTTGTTTACAAAAATACCCTCCAAAATATGGCGGAAAGTATTTGGAATAGGTTTTGACTTTTAAGGAGCAATTATGTCTTTAATCATGCTTATACAAGTATTAAAACCCCTTGCATTACTAATACTAGAGTTTGCTACGTACTATTAATTATACATATGATAATACCAAATAGGATGTATAACTAATAGAAATATTAGTTATACATAGGTTGAAAAATATACCAAATAAGGGATTAGTAATGCACAAAGTTAATGCTTGTATAATTTTTTCTAATACATTTTTTTTAATACCTCCTACCAAATGATCTCTTACATCCGATAGCCACAAAAGTGTTTAAATTTGCATATTTTTGTGTGTGTGTATATATATATACATTGGCTATTATTTTGAGAGCAGTTATAAAGTATCATTTCCTTCTTTTTATCACAAATCAATTTGGATCGCTAATTTAATTTCTCTGATTATCGTGATGATCATGGTTGAACCAAAAAACTTTCGTCTAGTGTATTTTATCAATAAAACTTTCGCTGTTTCCCAAGAGCTAACCCATGAATATGCAGCAAACTGTAATTATAGGTCATGCAATCTGCAATCTGCAATCTGCAATTCGCATACCATAAAATAAATATCCTTTCATAACGACAGCGAAGGGATGATAGCAATTGGAGTAATATATATTTGGGAAAAATACACATCTTCCTGAATCTGCTTTGTGTTTGATCACTTCGCTTCCAACTGGATTGTGATTAAGTGATGAATTAAGACCCTGATTAATACCCACAAAAGTGCTGAGTGTATCTGCAGGAGAGACAAAAATAGTAAAACAAGAGCGCTTTCTATAACCGTCTTCAGAATTAGGCTTTTGGACATTCCTGGATTGAAGAGTTGAGATATTTCTACGATACAAATTTGCAAGAGCCAGCTTCTTGTACTTCGAAGTGGTTAATGAGCAACACCAGCTTTTTCGTCATTGGAAAGCTAGCTACCATGTACTACTAAAGATTCATTTGCAACTAGTATTCTGTTTCTAGCACCCCATCTATGAGACCAAACTCCATGGCCTGCCATAAAGCAGTAAAGAAAGAAAATGTTTGCTTAATCAGATGGATTCTGTCTCATGCCCACCGAAAAAAGGGTATTGAAGGAAAGTGAAATCAGATAAAATAGAATCATATATACACCACAGGAAACTGCTTTAGAAATTGGCAACAAGCTTTCGAGGCATCTAGAAACGCTCTAGCAAGGAGTAGCATCTAAAGTACTAGCATACAAGTTATAACATGAGTAAAATTACCTCTGAGACAGACAAAAAACGATCCCTTTCAGTGTACTGTTGCACCTTCTCAATTGGTTGGCCAGTAAAGGCGACATACATCTTGTCGATTTTCTGTATAAGAAAGTAGAATATCAACTCAATCACAAAGTCCTGGAATATACACTACTATTAACTACTCTGACCGGAGTTTTAGCTCAATCACAAAGTCCTGGAACATATACTACTACTATTAACTACTCTGATCGGAGTTTTAGCTGAAGGACCATCAATGTTAGCTTATAATAATACACTGAAGGTTGCAACCCATGTATAAAGATAAATTGAAATTTTGGTGATTCATTCCATCACGTATGCATCCCCGTCAACATTTTTTTTTTTTTTACTATGTTACATAAAAGACCATGTCCACAAACCAGTAAACTGAAAGTGAAGTTTAAAAAGACACTTCTTTATGGTCATCATGGTCCTATGCTGTGTCAGTATAGTTTTCAAAATTACAACAAATAGAGAAAGGAAGTCCAGGGAACCTTCTATGTATCATTATGCTTAATCTGGATTCTGGATTATTGTATAACAATGAGTTTGTAGTAGCGTACAACAAATACCAAGTGAACCTCCATCAACTTAGCTTAATGACCCTATTAGACAAGTTTTTTATCTGTATGGTATACTACAATATGGTTTGTGAAGAAGTTTCAACAACAACTATCTTATGATCATGTTTATTTAGTGCGTAACTTTCATTCATATACAATTTCCCTATATATCCTATGAGTCGTCAAAATTTTCTGAGTCACGTCAAATCAAGAAGATTCGTGTTGGTGACATTGCTGATATAAATCAAAACGTTGCATAGCAAATTTATTAGAAAGGCTTTCAGTTTATTTTTCACTTTTTGTTACTGTATACTTTGATTGTACCATCGCACCATGGTCCTGTCTAGATTATCATATTAAAATTATGCTGGTGTCAATCTTTCAAAGGGCAGTGTAAGTAACAGCTAATTATCTGCCATGATATTTCCTGTATATTCTTTGATTGTCATCAGAATCTTTTTTATTAAATGTTGCTATACATATTCGACAAACCCTCAATGTGGTACATGATACATATCCTGATCTGACCACTATGACCACTATCAGGAGATAGAAACTTTGCTTGCAAATTTTAGGTTGGTGCCCATGAAAACAAAACTCTCTAGTACTCTTTACTTATCATTTTATTTCCGCCCTTAGGGAGTGGGGCGACAAGAAAAAGATAACAAGATAACAAGAGCAATAAATTTAATTTGGAGGCTGAGCAAAGATAATCTTCTTCAGAACCCAACTGTAGATTATCAGAAAGAGAAGGTTGAATAAGAAAAATTACTAACATGACGAGATTGAACCGCTTCGTTCACTTGGCGCCGCACATCTTCCACATGACCCTAAAGCAGCAAGTACAAGTAGGCTTTTAATAAAAATACAACCAGTTTAAGCAGCAAAAATGGAAGCATCTTCATACAGTTCTGAACTAACAGAAATATTCTAAAAAATATTACCTCTCTTCTAATTGTTTTATATTAGAGACATCTCTTTAGCATAAAACGAATAGCAACACTCTATGTAGTGAATTTTTTGTACTGAATTTCATTAAGAGCTTCTAATATAATGCGGAATTGCCCTTACTATATACGCATTTCCTTGTACATTTGGACTAATACATTAATCTACCTTTTTTAAAAAAAATTGACATCATTTCTAGGAAATAATTTTGTATGTCTTTTCTTTGATAAGGAATTTCATGTCTTTTCTTATACATGAAACAAAAAGTGAGTTTCGTTATGCCTACCCAAAAAAAAACTGCAAAAAGGAAAAAATATACCACAGATTGGCACATACCAAGTCTTTAGTCGTACAATCACTTTATTGCACCATTACAAAGTTTAGTACAATCAATTTTACAAATTTTTGTCAGAACAAATTAGCTGTTGATGTTCTTTTAACTGTTTGGGAAATTTATATTAGAAAAAAGGTAACAAAGAGTGCTCATTATTCAAATAGGAAATTTAAAAAAAAACATTTTATTAAAAGAAAAGAGTTGAAGAATGCACAAAAAATAGAAGAAATGAAGAAAATAAATATAAGTTGAAGGAAGATTATAATTGTTTCTTGGGTAATCCAGTGGCCCAATTTTTCAGGGGAGAGGGTGTTTCTTAATACCTTAAAGGGGAAACAACAATGTCTCAGTCCCAAACAAGTTGGGGAAAATGTTTGTAATATTTCCAAATCAGAGGAAAGGTAGTTGTACTACACCCAAAGTAACACATCTTGACTGAAATTCTCATTAAACTTTTAAAAGAGATTAAAACTTACTCCACAACCACTTTGAGGTTGATGAATCATTATGCGTGCATTTGGCATTGCATACCTCATGCCCTTTTCTCCACCGGCAAGAAGAAGTGCTCCTTGGCTTGCAGCTACTCCGAAACATACTGTACCAACCTTAGGCTTTATCTGAAAAAGAAGTCATTGCTTGAAGCATAGTTATTGTAAGAACATAATTCCAAGCAGTAGAGCATATAGGCAACTGAAAGTTGTTCAAAATTTGATTAAACAGAGTGACTATAGACACTATAAAGTGGCATACTTACCCATGACATGCAGTCATATATTGCCAAGACAGAGTAGGTACTTCCACCAGGACAGTTAAGATAGATCTGATATTGCAAAATATGGACATAACTGTAAACAAGACCTTTCTATATTCAACTTGATTAAACAAATCTAGCTATATGGTTATGGCAAAGCAAAGCAGTACCAAAATATCTGCATTTTCATCGATAGTTGCGAGGGTCACAAGTTGTGATATAACTCTCTGAGCAACTGCGGAGTTGATTGGTTGTCCAATGAAGATAATTCGATTCCTGAATAACACAGTAGAGAGATCCAAAGGTCCCCCTGGTGTCATCACGGCAGGCATGATGGGTGGATTCCCCTTTTTTGCTTCGATAACACCATAGCTGTTTCCATGAATTTCAAAACATGAGTGTTATATTATCCGGGTGGCATGTTTCGACCAATGATTTGGTCTATGTGTGTGAACATTGACCAAGTGTATTTTCAAAGACCACCGAGTACTCAAGAGACATTCAATAATGCAATATTTCTGCTTGCGAGTTAAGTGCAGGCTGGCTGACCATCTTTTCAGAATGCACATTTGGGTCTATGCTTGAGTCTTATTTCTTCACTCTGTAATTATATATTTTGGATAAATTGTTTCAACACTTCCCTACGAGAGATTGTTGTCTTTTTACCTATTTACCCCAGCTTTTTAAGACCTAGCAAGCACCAAAACAATATCAAAGCGGGCATGACAATTTATGCTCTTCGACATATTTTCAGTTTCAAACGAGCGACGTGCCACACATCAATACCATCAAAGTGAAAGTGAAGATAAGCTACTCATAGTAAATTTCAGTAACTCTATTTCTAGTTATTGAAGGAAGAACACAAAGCATCACCAATTAAGGAAAACAACAGTAAGCTCATCTCAAGAGCAAGGAAAATTTATCTAAGTTCTAGATCGAAGAACGTCTGTTCTTAATAAGTGTTGAGAACATCTCTTCACTCTTATTGACTTCTTACAAAACCACATCACTGCATTACTACATCTGGTAGTATATTTAACCAAAATATGACCTTTTAAAGCAATATGTTTAGAGCAAAATATACTCCACAAGTATAGAAAAGTCTGAGCGCTAAGGGGTTGTTTGGTTACAAGGACAAGGGATTATAATCCTGGATAAAATGTAGGATTAGTTTATCCCACGTTTGGTAGAATCTTCAGTTCCGGGATTGTTTATACCTCAATTGTGGTATAAATTTATACTACATCCAATGTGGCAAAATGACACTTTTGACCTTCTCCAAAGCTTTCCTCACAAAGTCTTTTAAGAAAGTCAAGGTTAAAATTGAAAATAAAAGTTTATCGAAGCTTAAGCTTATAAATTTTTTTTATCGAAGTTTAACCTTAAAAAAAAGTTTATCGAAGTTTATCTAGCTTAACAAAAGACATGCTTATATTATACCCCGCACATCACATTTTTAGTCAAATGAACCAAACATCTATCAAATATCCACCAAAATATTCCCGCCATTATTTGATCCCCATATTATAATCCCCACATTATAATCCCATAAACTTGTTCATAAACCAAACTAGTCTAAGGATAGAAGATAAACCTTGAATTGGTAAGACCACTGGATTCGTTCTCATTGAGCTTTAACGGGGTTCTCAGAGTCTTGCCAGAAAATCCTAGAAATTGAAAGAACAGAAATACAACCAAATCATCACCACAAAAAACAAAATTAGAAAAAATCATAAAACATTCCGTTTCAAGATAATTAAGTAGCTAACTAAGTCACTAACTAACTCGAATTCCGTTGCTAATCGAAAACTTAACTTACCAATAGCTGATGAATCAGAATACGGACTTCGGAGAACAGAAACTATCTGCTTCCTTAAGCTTCGGCAGAAAAGTAATTAGTATTAATTTGTTCTCAAAATCAAAAAATAAACAAGTAAAGTAGGAACAAAAACGTAAATTTATCAGGCATTCGAAAAGCAATTATGAAAAGCTAGTGTATAAATTACCTAGAAGAAAACAAAGACGAAGAAGACGTTTGCTGCCGGAAAGAGACTGGAATAATTGACGTTCCGGTGATGGCAGACGTTACCATTTTATTGCTCCGGCCAGATTCGGTGACGGAGTACTAGAGGGAGAGTGTTCGCCGGCGGAGTTAAGAGCTATCCCACGAGCATTCTGGTAAAAAAAGGGGATAAGAAACTGGGATAACCCGAATAATTGTTGGATCTTTATTGGGCTTTAACATTTTATTTTGAATTGGTCTATTAAAGCCCAATTAACTGCTAACGTGGAAGTGCACAGTTAGCCACTAATTAGAGCTGTATTTACTCTTAAGCCACTGTTTAAAATGTATTTACTCTTTAGCCAGTGCTTTAATAAATTTTTACCTGTCCAGACGAAAATACCTTTCTGCTAGATATGGTGTCTTCATGAGTGTTGTGTAAATATTAAGGGCAACGTGTCTTGAATTACCTTCTGTTTTAAACATTAGGACATCATGTCTTTAACTTCATATGTGTAGTGTAACTGTTAAGGACATGGTGTCCTTAACTTCATGAGTATTGTGTAAATATTAAGGACAAAGTGTCCTATATTTGCATCTTCTGTTGTTAAACTTTAGGACAACATGTCCTTAACTTAATATGTGCAGTGTAAATGTTAAGGACATGTTGTCCTTAACTTCATATGTACACTGTAAATTTTATGGACAAAGTGTCCTTTAACTTCATGAGTGCTATGTAAATATTAAGGACAAAGTGTCTTGTATTTGCACCTTTTGTTGTTAAACTTTAGGACATCATGTCCTTAATTTCATGAGTGTTGTGTAAGAATTAAGGACAAAATATCCTTAATATTTACACATTACTCATGAAGGTAAGGATACAGTGTCCTTAATATTTATACAGTACTCATGAAAAAAGGGTAAAACTAGGGATGACAAACGGGCAGGTCGGATATGAGCGTGTCGAAAATGGATAATTTAAAAAGCGAATAAATTATCCGACCCGACCCGTATTTGAGACAGATAAAAAATGGGTTATCCGACGGATAATATGGATATCCATATTATCCATGTCTTCTTGAATATGATCACTTATGGGAGAATTCCTAGTCTTCCAAACTTGAGGAACTCCCAATTTGAGGCTTTACAAATGTAAAAGTTGAATACATTAGTTATTCATTTGGTTAACCATTTTCTAAGTAGATAATATGGTTCTTATCCATATTCGACACGCCTTTAAAAAGCTTTTTATCCGGACTATTTTTTTAATGGATAATAGAGGTGGATATACTACAAGAAATGTGATCTTTTGTAGCGACCCGTATAGTCGCCACAAAGGTTATGGTTTCTATGGCGACTCACGTAAGTTGCTACTAAACGTTATAGCTGTAGTAGCGACTGTTGAAGTCGCCTTAGAAAGAAAATATTCAGTGGCGACTATACTTAAGTTGACACAAATGCTCTAATTTCGCAAAGGCAAAAATCAGGTTCAGAAAGGTATTGTAGCGACCTTTTAGAAATCGCCACAAAAAGAGCTCTTGTGGCGACACAGTCGCCTCTGTATCTTTTTGTACAAAAAATTAAAAATTAAAAATTAAAAGTAAAAACTGTTATAAAATAAAGACTGTAAAGTAAAGACAAGTATAAAGAGAAACTGATATATTATTCAACTTCAAATTCATGTACATAATGAACTGAAAACTCC